GGGCTGGGCGGCGTCGCCGGCGGAGGCGGTGCAGGCGCTGCTGGAGCAGCCGTTTGCCGACCTGCGGGCCGCGCTCTACAGGCGCGTGCCGGCGCGTTGACGCATGCGGCCAGTGCATGGGGATTTGGGCATTGCATCAGGACTGTGGCCGTCCTTTTCCGGCTCGTACTGCTCGGATGCCGCCGGTCCCGCATTGCTTTCGTGCACCATGTCGTGGGATGTACATGGCTTGAGCCGGTCGGGTTGATGACACCTCACGTGCACACAACACCGGCTCGCCGCCACCCCCTCCGCCACCCCCCTCCAGGTGCGTCACAGCCCTGGCGCTGCGCGCCTGGTTTGCGGATGACGTCGCCAACACGCCCGGCCTGCTCGCGCGCCTGTGCGACCCGAGGAGCGAGTCGGGTCAGATGTGCCAGTGGCGGCACGCGGCGGTGGGCGCCCTGCTGGCGACCGCGACCGAGGTCGAGGCGGGCGCGGAGGGCGGGGAGGGCGGCGCGGGGGCGGCGCCGCACCGCGGCGCGCTGGCGGGGGCGCTTGGGCAGCTGCGGGCGGCGGCGGCGGCGGGGCCGTATGGCGCGGCGGGCCCGGGGGGCGGGGCGGCGGCGCACGAGTTTGATGTGGCTAGCCGGCCGCGGTGAGGGGTGCAACGTGCTGAACCTGTAGCTGCGAGAATAGACCAAACACTTGTTTTACAGTGTATGTGTCAACAGAATAGGTTTGTCACCTTTTGATTCAGTGGTCAGCAGTGGCAAAGCGTCATGAATGCTCCCTGGCACGGCGGCCGCTCGGCCCATATTTTGGGTTGCTACCATCCGCAATGAGAAAGTTGTGGGTAACTGAATCATGATTTTCAACAGTCTTGTGGCGTCTCGTGGCATGGCTTTCGTCAAAGGCATGCTCAAGCGCTGTGCTGGGGGTGGGTGGGCTATGCCTGATGATGCACTGACGCAGACCAGGCGATTGAGCGGTTGCATGGCACTGGTCCCGCGGGTTGCCATGCGCCGTCAAGCAACGATACAGAATGAAATGCAGGCCCCAATCGACGCACACACAACGTTTCCTGTTGCATTCATATACATCCGTTCTTGCGATCTGCCCCGCGCGCAAAATCTGTGATCTCCGGTCTGGGACCAAAAACAGCAACACAAGAACGCAGGTTATGCTTGAGGTGAGCTTCGTAGCCCTGCTTGCCGCGCTGCAACGCAACACCTGGCACTGCGGCATCGTGATGTGCACCACGGGAAAACCTTGACCGCAGCTTGAGCTAGAGCTTGGCTGTGTGCTCACCTGGTGCTCCGTTAGGGTTGAGCGCTTTGATGCAGTGACATGCAGGTCAAATATTGGTTGCATATGATGCAGTGTAACCTGCCCAAACTACCATCTCCTTGATCCCAGGAATCCGCGTGTCGACGCGATGAGCCTCCGCCAGCTCAGCCACCAGCCCTCATGGCGCTGCAGTCCGCAGCGGCCAAGCCTCTGGCTCCGAGGCAGCTGCGTTGTGCAGACGATGCTCCTTCAGCGGGACCCCAGCATGGCGCTCAGGCACCATGGGTGCGTCGCAGGAGTCTGCGGCCTGCGCTACACCGCCACCCGCAGATATTGCGTGGTCAGCTTTGCAAGCAGGGTGTGCCAGGAACCTGGCTGCGCCAAGCGTCCCTTGTTCAACTTCTCAGGCGAGGTCAAGGGCATCTTCTGCAAGACACACGCTGCGCCAGGCATGCTGGACGTTGTCAACCCCCGCTGCCAGGCGCCCGGCTGCGCCAAAAAGCCGTCGTTCAACTTTGTGGGCGAGACCCAGCGCATCTACTGCAGGGCCCACGCAGAGTTCGGCATGGTGGACATTGTCAGCCGCCGCTGCCAGGTGCCCGGCTGCACTGAACTCGCCTCCTTCAATAATGAGGGCAAGACCCAGCGCATCTACTGCAAGGCCCACGCTGCGCCAGGCATGGTGAACGTGATCAGTCCCCGCTGCCTGGCGCCAGGCTGCACCAAGCAACCCTTCTTCAATCATGTGGGTGAGGCCAAGGGCATTTACTGCAAGGCGCACGCGGAGAATGGCATGGTGGATGTTGTCAACCCCCGTTGCTTGGCGCCAGGCTGCACCAAGCATCCCAGTTTCAACTTTGCGGGCAAGACCAAGGGCGCTTTCTGCAAGGCGCACGCGGAGCCTGGCATGGTGGACGTCATCAGTCCCTGCTGCCTGGCGCCCGGCTGCACCAAGCGTCCCAGCTTCAACTTTGCGGGCAACACCAAGGGCGCTTTCTGCAAGGCGCACGCAGAGCCCGGCATGGTGGACGTTGTCAACCCCTGCTGCCAGGCGGCCGGCTGCACCAAGCGTCCCAGCTTCAACTTTGCAGGCAAGACCAAGGGCGCTTTCTGCAAGGCACACGCGGAGCCTGGCATGGTGGACGTTGTCAACCGCCGTTGCTTGGCGCCAGGCTGCACAAAGCATCCCAGCTTCAACTTTGCGGGCAACACCAAGGGCACTTTCTGTAAGGTGCACGCGGAGCCTGGCATGGTGTACGTTGCCAGGCGCCGCTCCACTGTGCCGGGCTGCCTCGAAGCGGCGGCTTTCCAGTCTTTGGTTGAGCGGAGGGCACGTTTTGCAAGCAGCCCGCCGCCGCCAGCGTGACAGATGTCACGATATTGGGCAGGTGGCAGTGCGGTGCACCCGCAGCCCGGCGCGTGACAAAAGGTGCACCTTTCTTGGGCGACACCACCGGCAGTACTGGTGTAGAGCGGTCTGGCGGCGACCAGCTGGTCAGGTGGCAAGTCCTTGTTGCAGCAGCGCCTGCAGCGCCAGGGCGACGGCAGGGCTGGCTGCGATTTCATGCACCTGTGGCATCTCAGCGCATGAGGTGTGGTGATTTGACGTGGCCGTCTTGAAGTCAGCAATGGTGCTGTGCACCATGCAGACTGCCCCGAAGCAGGCGCAGGCCTTCGCCGGTTGATTGATATCAATGGCATCGATGCCGGCTCCGTCGCGCTTCTGGGCCCATGTGTCGCTAGTGTTCACGTGCCCCGGCTGACCATGGGTGACATGCGGGTGTGAGAGCCTCTGTTCGACCTTGTGCACCCAATCTCTGCGCTTTAGTGGGGGTGTCTGTAGCTGCTTGCCCAGGAAGGGTCACAGAGGACCGGACTCTTTGTGTGAAGGGGGGGGGGCAATCATCGCTTGCTGACGCTTTGGGCCGTGGAGGGCTGCCTGGTCTGGGCATTGGGCCTTCGTATGTGGACACAATAGGATCGGATGAGAGGAGTGTTACTTGTTAATAAGAGGTACCGAGTGCCAGGTGCCCCGTCCTCAAAACGCAGCGAACCATCGTTTATGCTGGGTCGAAGCGCGCGTGTGTGCACAGCTTCCCGCCAGCCTCCCTGGGCTGGATAGGGCAGTACACGCCCCAGGGACTGCATCATGCATACCAGTGCAGTTTAGGTACCGTCTGGGTGTGCCTTGGACAGGCAAAGCAGTGGCATACAGCGAACGGGGTTGGGCAGACGTCGCCGCCACTGTGCAGATGACAGCGCGGTAAAATCAGTCACGGAGGGTCGTGCAAGGATGTCCGCACTCAACTGGTCTTGAGCGCGGCAATCGTGCAATGCTCAACATACACTATGCAATGATAATGTATATTATATATTACGGTAGGTGATGTGAGTACATGTCAAGGGGCAGGCAGGATCATGCCCACTGTATTTAGTCAAGAGACAAAGCGTGACTTGCCATTTTCACACGTCACGGACAGTCTTGCACGGACAGGTTGGTCACTGTGCTCCCACACATGCATGCATTGTGATGTCTAGATACAGGTGCGCCTCGGCGCGCTACAGTACTACTGCCCCCACCCCTGCAGAGTAGGGTTCCTCCTCACGTCGCCATGACATGAGTTGCAATCTGGGTACATTGGGATGAGGGATTTGCCAAGACCTGGTTACGCAAGTTGAGTAATAACGCTTTGCTGTGATATGTGTATGTGGCGCTTTGTCGCCCGCACGCTGGGTGCCACGTGCACGCACACTCAATCAGTTGTCGCAATTGAACTGTTGATTTTAGCTTCTGCATGACGTCGCTCCCTGCACACCCAACCACACCGGTGCAGTTGCTGCATTCCTGCTGCATTCCTGACCTGGCACGTCCACATTTGGTGTGTCCGGGGCACCTTGCAGCAGACTTGAACCAAGAGTGTATGCAATGCCGGCATAAGCTGGGTGGCAGCGTGTGGGATGTCGGCGAGGCTGCATGGTATTTCCCGCCCCCAAGATCATTGGTCCATGGGCAAGCTTTGAACTTGGCTTGCTGGCTTGAATACATATGGTTGCCTGGTCACAACAATTGAGGCGTCACGGCGTGGCCAGGGATGACAACGTGACCAAGAGCTGATTGATCCTTGCACCGCACGGCTACATGTGATCATGTTGACGTGTGAGCGTACATATGGAACGTGTTGCCTGGAAAGTAGCATAGTCAATGTGTCTTTAGCAAGCCGCATGCTATCCTGTCGTATGTAACTGCTATGTTGTGTGTCACAGCCCTACTCGCCACTCCTGGGCTGCGTGAACATACACAGCCATGCGCTGCGCAAGAAGTAATGCCTCGCTGCTATGCGCACGATGCCGGTCTTGCCGCCCTTGCAATGCACAAGGGATCGCACTTGCATCAGCAGACGTCCCTCTGCCCAATATTCAACATACTCGGCAAGCCAGCTGACTTTGAGTCTTGAACGCTGGCGTGCTGAGCGGCATCAGTGCAAAGCCCAAGCGATGCTCTGGTGCATGTGCGCGCAAAGCATGCGAAGCAGCAGCCACACAACCCACTGTGCGCTCGAGTGGGGAGTAGGGTTGCAGGCCGCTGACTCATACCGGCATCCCCTTTCACACTGCCGACGTTGTTGCTAATGGTAGGGCTACGGCCTCAATAATTCCAGTGAAAGGGCAAGGGCTTCGCTACGCTGTGCCACCAGGCTGCTTGGCCTGCTCACTGCACGCTGCTCTCGCCGTCATCTGGGCAGTCTTGGAAGCATGCGACACCTGTACGACATCGGTATTGGCAAACCCCTACAATTTCCCCCAGCAAGAGGTCCCACCATTGTAAGCAGTGCGCCTGCTACTGATTTGCCCAAGCGCATACGCCACAACAGCTACTGATCTGGGCTTGTCAACAGCAGCAGCAAGAGACATGGATCGCGAGCCTTTGAGAGACACCAACCTGCAGTTGCGAGCCTCTTCAAGCTCGTTTCCTGATGAAAATAGCTGCGGGGCCTCGGGCTTTCACGACCTCGCCCAGGCTTTCAGCCAGCGCATCACGGAGCTACAACAAGTAATGTGCCTGCGCATAGAAGGTTCGTATCAAGCTCAGTGGTCAACTGAGCGCCGCAGCTCGATGATTTGTTGCTGCGCGCGACGGGCGCCGCCGACCTGACGCACCGCCCGTTTTGAATGCAGATCATGCGAAGCGCCTTTTCGTCGCGGACCTGCAGGGCCTTGCGGTAAACTCCTTGGGGTGGTGGAGGGGGGTTGATCACAAGCATGTTGCATGCATCGCACTCCCGAAATGGTTCCTTACTTTGCATGCAGCAGGAGCCCACTGCATTTGCGCGTCCTTGCCGCACCTGCCGGGCCCCTCATTCGCAGGCCAGCGTGCACGCCCTAGAGAAGGTTTTTAAGGAGATCAGGGAACACCTGGGGCGAGAGAACGCCACGATCCCCAAGGTGAGGGGATTTGAGGGACGCGCAGCATGACCCGATTGGTCAACCAGGCAGCACCAGCTTGCCTGGTTCATTTGTGGGCACCGACAGACCGCGTCAACCACCTCACTGCTGCACAAGTCAAGGGCCTCAACGCTTTGTCGACCAACCTCATCATGGCGCCTCAGGCTCGCGCTCTGCTGCAGGCTGCTCGGCTGCAGCAAGAGCACCTGCAGATCGTTGCGGCCAATCTCCCGGCCCACCTGCCAAGCAGCCAAGCGTCAAGCACGGCGGCAGCCGCGCCGAGCGGCTGGGCGCGGGCAGGCCAGCAATCAGCTGCAGGCGGCGGCAACGGCCCAGGGCTTGCGGCGGCAACAGCAGCAGCCAGAGGTGCGGTGATTTGTGTGAGAGTCGTTCGCCTTTGTCGGCAACAGTAGCGCGTGTATTAATGATGAATCTTGTTGGTCAAATGCATGAAGGGATAATTTGTATCAGGCAGCGTAACTAGCACACCCATCACTGCCTTTGAGCAGCATGCTCCTCTTGCCCACCATCCGCTGCCTGCGTGTACGCGCAGCGGCGGACGACGCAGGAGGCGGCGCAGGGGCAGCTGCGGCGGCAGGCCGCCGGCGCGACGCGACCGCCAGCGCGGCGTCGACGGCGGCGCCGCGGTGGTATGTGACACAGGCGGAGCTCAACTCGCTGGCATCCTACATGCGCGGGCGGCTGACCCTGGACAAGGTGCGCATGACACAGCTCCTCTGCTGCAAGCCAGCGAGTGCCATCAAAACGAGCACGTCACAGGCACGCCTGCGCACTGGAGATCTTGCGTCTCATTTCTGATGAGAGGTCAATGCCTGACCTTCAGCGCCTGGCGCTCAACAAACCACGCCTCCCCCCACGCCCCGCCAGGTCAACGCCGCCCTGGACGAGGCGGCGCTGCACGCAGAGCAGACCGCGCGCTGGATGGCGGCAGTGCGGTCTCACGCGCTGCAGCGCGTCCCGGCGGAGGAGCGCAAGCGCGCGGCGGACATGTACCACTCGCTGGCGGTGGGTCCTGGGCCTGGGGCGCTGAGGCTGTGGTGGCAGTCCTGTTGGGGGCGTCACTCGTTGGGGACTGCACGATGGGTGTTTTCAGCAGCTTCGCGCAGCCCCACAGCACGCCCACGTTATCCCCAAGCACGCCAAAGATTTTGGCATTCGTTGTGGGCCGGAGACGGCGTGCATCCTCAAGTTGCGTGCGACACCCTGCCCCCCAGGGCAAGGAGGGCATCCGCGGCCACTTTTGGTTCACGGAGGTCGAGCTGCGCAACGGCTCGGCGCTGCGGCCCGACAAGACCGGCAAGGGCCTGCTCATGATGCTGCGCCACCTGGGCCGGCTGAGCGAGGTGGGCGCGGGCGGAGGCTGCTTGCAAGATATGCATTAAGCTGGTTGTTCCGTGCGTTGTGCCTGAGGTAACCCCGGCAATCAATGCATCTGCTATGCGCTGGTGTTGTTGAGTTGACTTCACCAACTCCTGCTTTCATCTGCACCTGCCGGTTATGTGCAGGTGCGGGCCAACGTGGAGGCGCTGGGCGGATCCATAGTGGTGTATGTGCTGCTGCGGTCCACTGATTGATTGATTGTTGTCGTGATCGGTGGCGCAGGCAGAGTCAACCATGCGTCCCTGTGCGCATTCCCAAGTGCCTGACATTCCGCAGATGGGAAGGACAGCACTGCATGTTTATAACATCTGCGTTGTGTAACTGTTGTGCTACGGTATTGTTGCCTCAACTGCACGGCCCAGCGTCCCAACCCAGTGATCTGTTGTGTCGTGTAGGCGCGATCGCCATGGTTCGTCTAGTAAAGGTTGCTGCCACACAGCTGGCGATCAGCCGGGACCCCGCAGCGAACCTGGTGCGATCTCGGTGGCACGGACAGCGGCAGGTCCAGCAGTTGCTCCCTTTGATCACTCAAAGGTTTATATATGTTCTACTGCAGGCCAAGGCCGAGAAAATTGTTCGCCAGGCGGCCGCAGCGGGAGCGAACATCATACTGCTCCAGGTCGGCACCCTATGTAGCCCGCGCTGCTCGTGCTGTCACCACGGGCGCCCCGCTTGGGTCCCAGCTCACTGGCCACCCCAGTATCACACGCCCTGCTGCTGCTGCTGCCTTTGCAGGAACTGTTTGAGAATGTTTACTTCTGTCAGGAGCAGAAGCCGGTGCGCGCTGTGCAATGGGCTGGAAGCGTGACAGCCATTGACAGCTGATTAGAAGCATGCCTGGTTTTGTTGCAGGTTGCACGCAATGCTGCCGGTTCCAACTGCAGGAAGGGCATCCAGTGTGGTGCAGTGACTGTGTGCCGTGGCGGTGGCATGCTTCGCCATGCCTTGCAGCGAATGCAGCATGCCATGGACATGCCTGGCCCTACGACCTGCCTCAAGCCAGATTTCCTGTTTTCAACCCCAGGAGTACTTTGACTGGGCCAAGCCGCTGGAGAAGAGCGAGCCCGTACAGAGGTGGGAGCATGTGCGGCCCCGTGGCCACATTATTGTAGCTCTCAGCAGCACGGCGTGGCACCAGCAAAGGGCTGAGCAACGTCCCCCCTCCCCAACCCCTGCGGCTGCCGTGCAACTGCCACTGTACATGCCTGCACACCGCGCCTCGCCCCCTCGTCTGCCACTTGATCAGGATGGCCAAGCTGGCCAAGGAGCTCAAGGTTGTTCTGCCAGGTGGGTGAATGCGCCGGGCGTCACGCAACCGTTGGCCTCCTCCCCCTTGGCGGCCTGGAGCAGAACACACGTCTGCTGCTTGACCATTATCCGCAAGTCGACCCAGTTTGGTTGCGCCCGCTGGTGCACACACACACACACTCACACGCACACACACACACACGTTCACACCATTTCATACACACACACTCTCTCTCTCTTTCTACCTCTCGTTTACACACACACACACACACACACACACACACACACACACACACACAAACACACACACATGCATGCTCAACCACTTGCGTCCCGCAGTGAGCTTCTTCGAGAAGGTCAACAACGCGCACTTCAACTCGCTGGCCATGATCGACGCCGACGGCAGCATCCTGGGGGTCTACCGCAAGAGCCACATCCCAGACGGGCCCGGGTGCGCCCCCGACTCCCCCACGCTTCCCGCTGCCACCCGCCCCTCAACGGCACCCCTCGGCACGCATGCGGGCGCCCCCCGAACCTTGGCGCGCACTGTCCTGACCGCGGATCATCCGCAGCCTCCCAGCCCGCTTGCCTCACAGTTTTGGCACAATCATCGCCTTCCGGGGCCCCACCTGACCACACGCACCCCCCAATTGTTCTCTCAGGTACCAGGAGAAGTTCTACTTCACACCCGGTGACACGGGCTTCAAGGTGTTTGACACCGCGTACGGCCGCCTGGGGGCCGCCATCTGCTGGGACCAGTGGTTCCCCGAGACGGCGCGCGCCATGGCGCTGCAGGGCGCGGAGGTGCGGGGCCGCTTGGCCGCGGGCGCTGCACATGACCCGATGTCGATCATGGTGCTGGGCGTCGCGTGGCGAAGCTCAGGAGGCGACGTTGTTGCTGGCACAATAGCGTCGCTGTGAAAGCAACGGCATCGTGGCTTCGCTGCGCAAGGCGCGCAAAGCGGTGCGACTCAGCCTCGCCCCCCGCCCCGCCCTGCGGCCTGCCCGCCAGATCCTGTTCTACCCCACAGCGATCGGGTCCGAGCCCCAGGACAGCGGCATTGACAGCTACCCCCATTGGACGCGCACGATGCTGGGCCACGCCGCGGCAAATTTGGTGCGCCCGCCGTTAGGCAAACCCGTGGGCGCGCCGCTCGCAGGCGCCCCGTAGAGCTGCCACTGACAACGCCAGGGATCGCGGGTTGCGGGGCATGCGGATGCCTCTGCTGCTTTCCCATGCTGGATTGGCGAGTTTTGCTTTTCCCATGACGCTGCCCACTGATGCCAGTCCCTCTGCACCTCCCCCAACACCGATCGTGCCGCCCGCAGACGCCCGTGGTGGCGTCCAACCGCGTCGGCAAGGAGGAGTTCGAGAAGAGCTCTATCACATTCTACGGCGGCAGCTTCATCAGCGGGCAGCGGGGGGAGGTGCTGCAGCAGGTGGGGGCGGCACTGCGCCGCCTGTACCAGGCGGCTCTCTGCCTCTGCGCTCGCGGACAGTGTCAACGCTCGACGCGACGCACGTTCACCTCGCCCACTCGTTCGCCGGCCATGCTCAAGCATCAACCAAAATGCTTGTTCCAGTGATGAACTCAAGCCACCCGCGGTCTTGGGAAGCCCAGCTTGCAAACGCGCTGAAATTGCTGTGGTTCACACCCGCCCAAAATCGCTGCGGCCCCGCTGCCCTGGTTTTCAGGTGGGCGGCGACAAGGATTTCCTGCAGCACGGCAACCTGACGCCCGACCCTTCAAAGGAGGAGGGCTTCGTGGTGCAGGAGTTTGACCTGGACGAGCTCAGGGCCACGCGCCTCGGGTGGGCGGGGGGCAGCTTGCGACTGGGAGCGTTCGGTCTGGGGCGGCTGCTGGCACCTGGGGGGGGGGGAACTGGTGCCGCTCGCAGCTTCACATGGGGAGTGGCCGCGGGCTGTGTAGCTGGCTCGTGCTGGTGGCGGTGGTGCGCTCGCGTCCGAGGGAAGGCAATAGGATAATCTCGCTGTCCGAGGATGTGGTGAAGAGCATTATGCCACAAAAGAAACCAACCCTCTTCCAACCCTTGCATCGCTCAGGTGGGGCGTCTTCCGCGACCGCCGGCCGGATATCTACAAGCCGCTGGTCACTTTTGATGGCAGTCTTGTGCACCACGCGCTCAAGTAGTGCGCGCTGCCTTGCAGCTCGTGCCACAACTGCTGTCAGACGGCGTCATCCGCGGCACAGGATTGCGGCGGCGCCTTGGAGGCGCCAGCAGCGCTCTACCTCTGTACTGTACCCGAGCGATTACTATTGATGTGACTGTGGAACGCTTTGTAATGGCGACGAATTGAATCGTGTCCAGCGGTGGGTTCGGACGGAACGAGGGAACTCGGCCAGTCGAGCACGAATGGGGTGCACAAAAGCGTTGGAAGTTGGCATCATTGAGCTATTTCTTTAGCGTGACAGACATCCAATTATCAAATCAAAACGTGGTAGGTCCCTTGCCCAGAAGCGCGCGTGTGCCTTTCGACACGGCCGTACTGGAAACGCTCACGCACAGCCCCCCTCCTGGCGTTCCGCCTCAGGGTACAGGATAAGATAACGCTGATTGATGGCTGTCGCCTGCAGCGTGCCGTTTGTCCCTCGGCCGGAGCACATATCGGCGATCTGGGGCCCTATCCAAGCCGTCCAAGGCGTACGTGCCATGGCCGCCGCTGAGCAAGGCACCCACGATATTACAGTCGCCGCTCAGGCGGCCCCAACGGCGGCCGCCGCGCCCTCTGGCCCTGACGCGCCGGCGGCCGATGGCGGTGTGCTGAGCGTGGGCAGCGACGGCAGCAGGGGCGGCGCCGAAAGGGCAGCTCAGCTGCAGGAGCTGTTCCAGCAGGCCTGCGGCCGCGGCGGCAGACGCCGGCACCTCTCCACGCCCACCCTTGAAGATCTCGCCAACAGCTTTGCTACCCTCACCCCCAACCGCACCCCAGCTGCGTCGCACGGCGGCACCAGCGGCCTGCTGCCAGACACCCCGCTGACTGACCCGCAGCAAGCCGGCACCGCACCCTCTGCGCCTCACACTGCCCGCGCCGCCTCCTCACCCGGCGCGTCGCGTGCTGCCTCAACATCCGAGGCCGCGCTTTCGCTGCAGATGTCCAGCGTATTCGCGCAGCCAGAGCAGCAATCTCAGCAGCACGACGCAGTCAACCAGCACCAGCAGCATCAAAACTATCAGCAGCAGCAGCAGCAGCAAGAGCAGCAGCAGCAACAGCAGCAGCAACAGCAGCAGCAGCAGCTCCAGCAGCAGCAGCAGCAGCTCCAGCAGCAGCACACTCTCGCCAACCTCCCCATGCAGCAGGCGCAGCACTCCACGCCTCGCCGCGAGGCCGCGCCGCCTCTCTTGCTGTCGCCGCAGCGCAGCGCGAGCGGCGGGGTGGACCCGTACTGCAAGCCCAACAACTTCCTTTACAAGGTGAGTTGCGCCTGGCACTCTGGGCTGTTTGCGAGTGAATTGTGTGCACAATCCTGAATGATACCTCTGCCCTTGCGGGTGTGGCGAATCTGTTGCGGCAATGTTCACAGTAGCTTTTTTGGCTGGCGCAACCGCTTGCATCGGACACTGATTCGATTTCCTGTGCTTGTAGACACCCTCTCCTCTTCCAGCTACTCACCACCACCACCACCCCATGTGTATTCATGTAGTCTTCAACATTCCTTGCAGCTCCTCTCGCCCTCCTCATAAGTCTTCGCAACCGCTTCCCGTCACCGCACTCCTCCCCTGCCCACCCCCCAAGCCGCTCCCAACATCCATTGACGCCCAAATCGTGTGTCTTAGACCACGTATCCACCTCCTACCCTCCTCTGTGTGTCACCTGCGTCACCCACGCCACCCATGTCACCCGTGTCACCCCTGTAACCCCTGTCACCTGCAACAGACGGAGCTCTGCAAGAACTGGAGCGCCCTCGGCACATGCAGATACGGCGTCAAGTGCCAGGTGCGGCGCCGCCCCCACCCCCTCGTTGTAACCCGCTGTCTGCTTGGAACCTTCCTGGATGTGTGAGCGCAACCTAACCCTCAACCGCCGGCTGCGCACGGCGCATGAGAACTTTGATTATATGCACGATCGTATCTGCAACCCATCCCACAGACGCCACACCCCGGTGAAAACCGCTGGGCTCGCCCATCCTCATCATCCCGCCTCTGGCACCTCACCACGTTGCTGCCGCCGCAGTTTGCCCACGGCACCCTGGAGCTGCGCCCCGCCAGCCGCCCGCCGCGCGCCAAGTCCGACCTCTGCCGCACTTTCGCGATCACCGGCAGCTGCCCCTACGGCACCCGCTGCCGCTTCCAGCACGCCGAGCCCGGCTCTGCCTCGGCCGCAGCCGCCCTCGCCGCGGCCCGCGCGTCGCCGCAGCAAGGCGGCAGCGCCGGCGCCGGCGCGGCCGCAGCGCTCGGCGCGCGGCGCCAGGCCGAGGCGGCGCGGCGGCTGGCGGCCGCGGGGGGCGAGTACTGCGCCGGCGGCCTGTTCGACGCGAGTGGGGGTACGCATGGCGGG